CCGGCAGGCCGTGATGAAGAGCCGTCTCTTTCTGTGGAACGGTCTTATAAGTTTTTGCCATTTTAAAGCAGAGATAAAGAAAAGAAAATTAAGAAGGTACGCTTAGTGGTTGCAAAAGGTTCAAGAAATCTGGGTACAAAAGTTGGAGAGTGAAGAGATTCTTAAAGAACAAGAGTAGAAGAAGCTTTGAACATAAAGTTTGAATGAATGAAAGTTGGGATATTTATAGTTTGCGATGGTTCAAAACCACTAGTGGCCGACCAACAACTGACACACATTTAATGCCTTGGGGACTGGATCGACGGGACATTTCAGTTACCTTTTGTCACTTTCGTCATGATCTATCAAAACGAGGTTCGGAAGTTCATATCGTTTCTCGTCATCTTCTCTCCGAAAAACGGGGGGACTATCTGTATCGGTCGAAACCGGGTTCGTCCATTGTATGACCAGCCGAGACTGAAGCGTGAGAGATCAGAGCTCGAGCTCGAGTTATATCGAACCAAAGCGCGAAGTTAAGTCGTTAAGCTCGTGACTCCAACACCGAACAAGATCGAGGGAACTTTGTCGAGCCAAATAACAGAGGGACGAAATATCCGGGATCGGTCGGAGATTACGGCAGAATTCTTGGCACGTATCGAGGAGAGGCTGATTAATTGGCAAATCATGAGATTGGTTACCTTTAATAGGATTGTATCAAGAATAGGACGTCGAGGTTTGATCATTTGTAAAGGACATTGTAACACGCACAAAGAAAGCAATATACTGATCATTTTCAGTTCTTATCGTATTGTTGTTCTGTTCTAACATTAGCTGAGGCATTTCTTGGCTCGAGGGTGATCAAACTCAAAGTCTAAGGCTGTTCAATTTGTGTGGTTGCATTTATTTTCTTATCATTAATTTCAATATTAATCTATCTTCTTAATTTGTATCAAGTTATATCATGTATCCTTAAAAGTGCATATAAATTCAATTGTTATCCGACTTTAAGGGTAAACATTACATTTTACATTCTAATGCCTCAAACATGTAAAATATTTCAAAATGAAAACCATCTCGGATGAATAAAGAAGGAAGTGCATAGCAATAAGAATAGGCGGATAAAAGTTCGCCTTTACATTGTTCGTTTTCCTCAATTAGGAAAAGAAGATGTATTAGCAAAAAAAGAAGAAAAAAGAAAAAAAAACAGCGATATGAGTTAATTTGATCAACTTTTGAGCATTGGAAGTAGAACAAAGTAACCCTTTCCAGCTACAGTAATTCAGCACTTGGTCTTTACAATCATAGACATCTCATCATTATTAATTTATACCAATTAAGGGGGGAATAACCCTTTTGATTGTATAAAATAGTGTTATAGATTGAAGGAAAGTACAAAATGTCATCGGATGCCTACCAATCCAGCCCCGTGCACAGCTAAACTCACTAGCCACACATTATCATGATGTTTTATATTAACTCGGTTTTAGCAATTATTATTCCAGCGAAGCTTAACCTTAATATATTTTAATTGCAGAAATTATGCCTCGCTTTTTTGTAGTATATCATTATTGGTGCCCGTGGGGTGTTTAGCAGGACATTAATTTGATGTGATTAAAGATGGTGGGGACGTCTAAATTTCTCCAACTCCCATTTACGAAGGGTTAATAAATAATATGGCAATATGCTTTGTTTAATATTTTCACGAGACATGATTTTGTACTGCACATGCATTGTTAGATGTTGGCTTTCATGTGAGAGCTTGTGTTCCAATAAATGCAGGGGTGCTTTGCCCTTACTAAGAACACAAAGTCCCAAGTGAAAAATGAGCCAAGTACTATAGTACATTATATATGTTCTATACACACACCCATATATATATATATATATATATATATATATATTCTATAGTGCTGCAAATGTAGGAAAAAAGAATTGAATATTTTCACATTACAAGTATGACCACGGTTTGCAAGAAAGCAGCACTATAAAAAAATGTTGTAAAGTTTGTAATGATAAGTACTCTTAGAGAATGTTATTCTTTTCTTTTTTTTCTTCGCTTACTTATGTAATCGTTAGAGATACTATATGTATTAGTGAAAAATAAACTCACCACATTTAACAAGTGGCATAGGGTTCGAAGTAATATAGAAGAATGAAGAACAGAGAAGGCATGAGTAACACTCACGGGATTGCCTACGAGGATACCATACCTATTAGCTGGAAAAGAGAAAACAAGTACGAAGTCGATAGTTAAGGACACTAAAATCCACGAAAATGGAAGGATCATTAATAGCCACGAATGTGGAAAGAAATCAGCATAATCCCATATTATGCGCGATCGGGACCGGCTCCAACCTTATGTGGAGTAAGGCTTGTGCCTTAGGCCCCAAATTTAGGGGGCCCCATTTTTTTTTTTATAAAAACAATAGATTCATAGGTATTTTAAAAAATAATATTTTTAATACAAAATTAGAGTTTTTAATTAGATATATAAATAAAATAATAATTTGACTTACTTAAAAATAGGTAGATGAATAGTTTTCATAACTGTTAATTTCCCATTTTTTACTCCTTTATTAAAAAATTTGCACTCTCTTCCTTCATTTTTCCAAGTCAATCTTTCTTTTTTTCCAAACTATTCATTTCAGAAAATCCTATATATTTTTGTGTTTCCCTTTGATATTGTTACTCACTTCTTTCTACAGTATTTCATTACTCACCTTTTTTCTCCAAGATTTCACTAGTTCAAGTGTTTAGCAATACTTTTAAGCTTCTATTAGTTCTATACTTCTATTGCTTTATAAACTCTTATCTAAGATCAACAATATCTCAAGAAAGATTAAATAAATTTGCTATATTATCAATCGAGCAAGAATTATTAGAGAAAATTGATTATAAAAAAAATTATTAACAACTTTATATCTCAAAAAGTTGGGAGAATAGACTTCAAATAAATACATAAGAACTATCTTTTAAAAATTTAGTACTCATATTAAACTTTGGTTTTAGGCCCCGTATGTGCCTGAGCCGCCCCTGTGCGCGATTGGTCGTTGTTATCTTAACCGTTACAAATCATCCATGTAATGGGTAATCAATGTAATAAATGTTAGTAACAGGCAGAAATTAAATAAGGCGAAACAGTTACAAATTGTACCCTTATATAAATTCCCTTACCATATCTTGTATTCCCATGGAGAAAATCACAAAGTAATATTATCAATTATCAATATTCTTATTATTCTCTGCCATTGGAAGATCTTTTTCTTTCCTATTCAAAGGAAGCTGCGATTATCAATAAGATTTCTTTTTCCTTATTCTCTTAGTCTTGCTTTATTATTATTTTACTCTTTTATATTAGGAAAAGTGAAGTAAAATTGGTTATTAAAAATTCGAATTGTTCTTTTATTTACTTTAACCACAAAAACTATTCCCTCCCCCCTTCCACCCCCCACCCCACCCCCCGGGCTGGTTAAATATTACATCCGGTCCCGGTTGGAATATCAATTTTAATAGTTCTCACACAGCCTTTAAGAAAGATTTAATAGCATTAATCATAATTTTTTTTGTCTAAACTCATTTACCTATTCCAAGCAATTTACTTAATTAATATTTCACCAATTAGAACGTTAAGGACTTAGGAAAAGAAAAGAACATTAAGCGCAAATCTAAAAAAATAACTTGTTATTTTTAAAAAGGTTAAATATTTTTAAAACAAATTCAGTATATCAAAATGACTAACATTTGGAATTGGAGAGAATATTAACAAAACGACAATATATCCCCACACAAAAAATAAAAAAAAAAATAAATAAATAAAAAAAAAATGGTAAAGGAGCTAAGGGAAATGGACGTGCATTGTAACCACCGAAGGTTAACAGGTTTGGAAGACAAGATGGACATGCAAATGTAAGACAAACTTAGAAGGTACTTCAAACCCTAGTCTTATTTTATCATGACATGAAACATTTTAACTCAAAAATGCAAAAATAAAATAAAACAAAAAGAAAGAGGCAAGTTGATCTTCAGTCGATTAAATTACTTGTTTACCCCTCCCACAGCCCCTTTAAAGTGTCATATAAAGGTGTATCATACATTATTTTTTGACTCTAGTTTCCATGACTAATTCCAACGCAAATCACAATGCATCAACTATTTAGAAATCATTATTAAACTCTTGTCGGTCTAGGCAAGTTCATAATTCTCTACCCTTTCCGGTTCATAATAAGTGACCAATTTGCTTTTTTATTTTTGTCTAAAATAAGTGTCCATTTATATAATCAAAAAAAGAATTCAATTTATTTTTACAAAATTACCCTTTTGTACATCCCTAAAAAGTTTTCTTACTCCTCACATTAAATATTTAATTAAGGAAAGTTTAGTCATACTAGGTATTTTTGTATAGAATTTAATATTTTCTTAATGGGCGTGCTAAAAGCAAATTAGTCACTTATTATGAACCAGAGGGAGTATCAATTTTCAAAAGTTTTGATGCAATACTACCACCCGTTTACGTTATCGGTTTTTTTTTGCAGATTCCCTAACAAAAATATTTAATAAACATAGTCATATTTGTCTAAATTATTTTGTAGCGCTCTCTCTTGAACATCTCATTTAAATAACAGTACACTAATTGAAGCAAAAGGGGAGCATTAGAGTAATAGTTAAGTTGTATAGTTGATCACTCGATACGCAAAATCAGTCACTGATACTTGCATCATGGTAGGCCGTCTATAACACACTCTTGAAATGCGGCCCTTGAATACGGAATTCCTTGCACGTCCGAATACCCTTTGTAGTTTATACTGATTGAAGCAATAGCAGTAAATTTAAAATTTGATACTTATTTTTTAAACTATTATATATCTATTTGTTTTAGTTCCTGAATAAATAAGGGGGTAAATCCGTCAATTTACTCATCGCCATGTGGCAAAGACCCAGATAGAGGCAGCCCAGTTGGAAACAGAGCGGCAGTAGCAGACCAAAGTTTGGGGAGAAGTCGCCTTCTCCTTTTCCTCTGACATTCCACCTCTGCAACTTTAACCTTAAATAATTATTCACCCCCCTCTTTCCTTTTTTTCTACTTATATTAATTCCTCTTTTTTTCCAACTATGTCCTCACTCTTTTCTTAAATCTCCAAATTCCGTCTCTTTCTATCCTCTTCATCAAACACTGTGATTCCAGCCCCACCAATAAGATAGTAGAGTTTTCCTTTGCACTTTGTATTCTTTTGCCTATTTAACTTTCTGAGCAGCACTTCCTCTTTACTACCCCCCTCTTATGGGTTCTTTCTAATAAGGTATGACTATTTCTCTAATTCTCTCTGTTTTTTTTTCATTGGCTGTTAGTAGTCAACCTGTGTTCAATTCACTTTCTGTTCCATTTATATGTGATTACTGCCTTTGCTTTGAATTGGGTCCTTGCTTTTAGATGGATTATTTTAGTTCATGCTTCTTTTGTCTTGATTCTTGCTGTAGCTGATGTTTGTTAATATGCTAAGATCTGTTAAAAAGATCAAGTTTTTATCCATGTAGTCTTGTGTGTGGACAAGGTTGAAAGGTCAACTTATTGTGGCATATCATAGAACATGTTGCATATGCTGGATCTGCTCAGGGAATTAACCTAAAAAGAGTTTGCATTTGCAGGTAATTTATTTAATTTATTGGAGGTGCTGTGTTTGTTTATTTTGTGGTCTTGAAGATGCCTGGAGTTGTTATGGATGAAATTCATGAAGAAGTTGAGGTTAAAGAATTGAAGGAAAATGGAAATTCAACACCTTGTAAAGAGAATGCAGTTGTGAATGAGTCCCCTGAGGGTGCTTTGACTCAAAATCCTCCGAATGGGGGAGCGGAGTATGCAGCTGATGGGGTGGTTGAGCCCTCCATTGAGGAGCTCTATGAGAATGTGTGTGAGATGCAAAGCTCTGATCAATCTCCATCTAGGCCTAGTTATGGATCAGATGGTGATGAATCCAGGATTGACTCAGAGCTTCGCCATCTTGTGGGCGGAGAAATGAGGGAAGTAGAGATAATTGAGGAGGATGAGGAGGTGCAAAAGCCAGAGAGTGATGAATCTATCTGCGATTCTGGCTCTAAGAAGGAAACCTCTTCTGATGTGAAGTTGGATAATTCCCTATCATCGAGTGCAAAGACTCCTTCTTCAGGGCAACCCAAGACACCCTCCCAGTTGGAGTTGGAATCAGAAACTTCAGCGAAATCGAATCCAAAGGGGAGGAAACCTTCCATTGAAAAGAAAAATGAAAATAATTCTAGGAAGGCAGTTGTGGGAGGTACATCAAGGAGTAAGAAGAGTTCACCTGCTTCGGGATCAAAATTGAAGAATGGGACTGAGGATTCATCTGATTCAGGTTTAGACAATCCTGACCTTGGCCCTTTCCTTCTTAAGCAAGCAAGAGACTTGATTTCTGGTGGGGATAATCACCATAAGGCTCTTGACTTGGCTCATCGAGCGGCAAAATCATTTGAGAAATGTGCCAATGGAAAGCCTAGTTTGGATGTGGTCATGTGTTTGCATGTGACTGCAGCAATATACTGTAATTTGGGCCAGTACAACGATGCCATTCCACTGCTAGAGCACTCATTGGAAATTCCGGTGGTTGAAGAAGGTCAAGAACATGCCCTTGCCAAATTTGCTGGTTACATGCAATTGGGTGATACCTATGCAATGTTGGGCCAACTTGAGAACTCAATTATTTCTTATACCACCGGTCTGGAAATACAAAGGCAAGTCCTGGGAGATAGTGACCCCAGAGTCGGTGAGACCTGTCGATATCTAGCTGAAGCTCATGTTCAGGCTTTGGAGTTTGATCAAGCTGAGAAGCTTTGTCAGTTGGCTCTTGACATACATAAAGAGAATGGTTCACCACCTTCCCTAGAGGAGGCAGCAGACAGGAGGCTGATGGGACTAATTTGTGAGTCAAAAGGAGACCATGAGGCTGCTCTCGAGCATCTTGTTTTGGCTAGTATGGCGATGGTGGCCAATGGTCAAGAAGCGGAAGTGGCATCTGTTGATTGTAGCATTGGAGACACATATTTGTCTCTGAACAGGTATGATGAAGCCATTTTCGCTTACCAAAAGGCACTCACAGCTCTCAAGTCTAGCAAAGGAGAAAACCATCCTGCTGTTGCTTCCGTTTTTGTCCGTTTGGCTGACTTGTACAACAGGACGGGAAAGCTAAGGGACTCAAAGTCATATTGTGAGAATGCCCTCAGGATATATGGGAAGCCCATACCTGGGATTGCTCCAGAGGAGATTGCTTGTGGTCTTACAGATGTTTCTGCCATTTATGAGTCGATGAATGAGCTTGATCAGGCGCTCAAGTTGCTACAGAGAGCGCTAAAGATTTATAACAATGCCCCCGGGCAGCAGAATACCATAGCAGGAATTGAAGCCCAAATGGGGGTAATCTATTATATGTTAGGAAAATATTCTGAATCTTATAACTCCTTTAAAAATGCAATTTCAAAGCTCAGAGCAAGTGGAGAGAAGAAGTCAGCCTTCTTCGGAATTGCCCTTAACCAAATGGGGCTTGCTTGTGTACAGCGTTATGCGATAAATGAGGCAGTCGAGTTATTTGAAGAAGCAAGGGGCATTTTGGAGCAAGAATATGGACCCTATCACCCGGAGACATTGGGAGTGTATAGCAACCTTGCTGGCACCTATGATGCTGTGGGCAGGTATGCTGCATCTTCAAACTTTGCAATTCCTTTGTAGTAGCACCATATTAGGTTTTTTAGTTACTTGGTGTTATTTGTTATGCTTTTGAGAACCTAAACAGCTGACTTGTTTTGTATTACCTGAAATATGTTTGAATTTTTTCTGCTGCTTTACGTTCTTGCATGCTAGGCTAGGCAGGCTAAAATTATCAATTTTTTTGCTAATCAACACCAGTGCTTATTTTCTTTAGCTAGGAGAAAGCATCTGCTTAGAGTATTTATTGGCAACACAAAAAAATTTCTTATTTGCTATGAATCATGATGCTGTAATGTATGTCTCTTGATTTACTGGTCAGATCATGTTTTCAGCGCTTTTTCCAGCTGCATTGATGATGTTGATGCTCTTTGCAGGTTGGATGAAGCTATCGAAATACTGGAATACATTGTTGGGGTGAGAGAGGAAAAGCTAGGGACGGCAAATCCAGACGTCGATGATGAAAAGAAGAGGTTAGCTGAGCTACTGAAGGAGGCTGGCAGGTCTCGAAATAGAAAAGCCAGATCACTGGAGAATCTACTCGACGCTAATCACCGTCCTAATACTATAAATAATGATGGCATTAAAGTATGATTATGAAACAATGTACATGAAATTTTATATTTTGAGTATATTTATTCAAGAGTCAAGAAAAAGAAAGAAAAAGGTATAGATGAAGGTTTTGTTAATCAGATTCTTGTTCTGGCGTTGATTGGCATAACGCTGAATGGGTTGTCAAAACTGGTCTTGTTTTGTTTTTATTTTCATTGATAAATTTAGTGTGCGCAGTTGTAACTCTGTAATCATTTGTATATCTTATAGAAGGAATGAATAATACTTTTTACAGCATCGCTGTTTTTGAGCATTCTAAAGAGCTGTCCCTGAGAAAAATAGTATAAAGATGTTTACTGTTCAATTAGATGAGGGTATCCATGTAACTAAAGTTCTGACTCTGGTTCTTCCCACCCACCCCCTAAAAAAAAATATGCATACAGTTACAACTAATGGAATAGCAGAGTATATTTGTACTATTCAGATAAAAGCTGATACAACGGACAACAACTACGCAACTACGCCTCAATCCCAAGCAAGTTAGGAATCGGGTATATGAATCTTTATTGTCCATGTCGCTCTATCCCAAGCAAGTTAGGAATTGGGTATATGAATCTTTATTGTCCATGTCGCTCTGTGTTCCAATAACAATAACAGATAAACGCCAAATACATGAATACTATCTGGTTGGCACTCAAACCAACTCCATGATTCAGTAATCATGAGAGATTGGTTGATGGATTTGGAATGTATACAGTTGTCAATACTCATCTTTCCATTTCTAAAGATCTAACAAATACCTGTGTACTGTCTGGAAAAAAGTTCTTGATTTTTCTCTTGCATAAGTTTTTCTTACCTTGCCTCCTTACCTCTCCGTAGGGGTAAGGTTTGCGTACACACTACCTCCCCAGACCCCACTTATGGGACTATACTGGGTATGTTGTTGTTGTATGATTTTCTTACCTAAATAGAAATGCCAACTTAGAGTTCCTTTAAAGTGAATTCCTTAATGCAGGTAACGACATACTACAACATAGACCTTTGTCAAAAATAGCATAAAACATGCTCTTTAAGTCTGTATTTACTTGTTTATACTTGTGTAAGCTTAGTTTTATTAAAAACATAGTTCGCTAGCCGGAAATGAGGAAAAGTCATAATTTCAAGAGGATTGATGTTAGGTGAAGAGAAAGAAGAAAAGAATAGAACGGCGGAGGAGACGACAAAGATAATAAAGAGCTAAAGCGTCCACATCTATTCCAGCTACAAATGGTGGGGTGGCTCCATGTTCTTTTAGATCTTATGTTCATGTTACATGAATTGGTCCCCCATACCTTTGCTTTTACTACAGAGCAAATACATAGTAGAATTAGATGGTGGGTCATTTATTTAGATCTTCTGTCTCTACACTCAGTTTAGATTTGTAGGGACATGATTTTCAATGGTAAATTTCTCTCTGGATGCTTAGAGAAAACTTATCTTCTTTAGCCAAGGTTCCAATCATTGAGGGATAGATATTTCAGATTTTATTGTTGTGGTGAAATCATCTTTTATCTACTTTGTATGAAATACGCTAATGTCCTTTTCTTCTAGTGGTTCATTCTTCAAGATCAACAACAAATAACAGAACACTGCGGTAATGGGAGTCTTGGAGCAACGGTAAAGTTGTCTCCGTCTGACTTATAAGTTGCACGTTTGAGTTGTAAAAACAGTCATTAATGCTTGCACTAGAGTAGACTAAGGCTGGCATGTGGGCCGGTCACGGGCCTAAGTGGGCTAAGTGGGCCGGTACCAATTTAAACGGGCTTCGCGGTCCCGGTCTTGGTGGTCCTTTTGTAGGAACCGGCCCGGGACCGGGCCCACGAACTAATGGTCCCGGGCCTAAGTGGGCCCAAACGGATTCTTTTCTTAAAATTTTTATAGCAATTAGAGAAAAAAAAATGGTAATAAAAATATCTAAGGCAATTCCTTGTAAATTATATTATAGAATTGTGACCTAAATTTTTTAATTCAAATTTAGAGACGAAAATATTTTAAAGAGATATTCAATAGTTAAAATGTTGACTGAAAGCGCTACCACTATTGAAGTTTGAATAGCTAAAATGTCTCGGGCCATCCCTGAAAGAACCGGAAAGTATTTTTATTTTTCTTCCACCATTTCAAAATATTAAAGGAGCCGTCGGGATTCACTTCCTCAATTCCTTGTGACAAATAAACTTCAAGCTCATTTAGTTGTGAAAAATCACTAGTAGTAGAACCTTGAGAACCCCTGAACCCCGCCCAAGCACTAAGTGCTCTTATTCTGCAGTTCTTTTAGATGATTGTGAATGAGAAGAAGAAGGAGTTGGAACATTTGGTCTAGCTTAATCTAATGCAACTTGATAAGCATTATAAATAGTTTGAATTTATTTTAATTGAGGCTATTGCTTCCGGAAGTTTAGACAACTCCTCTTCTTCAAGTGTTAAACCATTATAAACAATTTCATACCAAAATTGAGGACCTCCTAATTTTATAGTAGGATTTAACAAGGCAGCAACACCATAAATAGTTGAGTAAGAAATGGCCAAACAAGACGGGGCATCATTTGGATTATCACTAGTTGGGTTAACTTCAAGAGTAGGACTATTGGGTGTATCGTCATCCGATTGCGTTTCATCAAAATCTATTTCCTCATCATCATTTTCATCAATAGTTGAATTAGAATAAAGAGCATTCATTAATTCATGGTTTAATTGTTCATCAGCACTATCATTATGGCAAAATTGACTCTCAGTAAATTGTAATAAACTATTACCGCTATCAAGAATAGCAGGTGTAGGAAGCATATGGGGTTTGGGTCGGGGAGCGGGGGGGCAGTGGAGGAGGAACAAATTGGCCACTAGATTCGCCACTCTTGGATTTTTCCTTATTTTAACCAAAATTTTTAAGGAAGCCATCGTAATTAATTAAATAATAGAAAATAAATAAAACAAACAAAACTATAATATTAAAAATTATGAGTTGGAACGAGTTTACCCAATTGACGACCAACTTATTGAAAATTGATTATCATTGTAGACTTGAAGACTTCAATTCACCAACTTCACAATTTTTTCACAAATTGTTACAATAAAGTAAGCAATTATAGAAGAAAATTAGAGAGAGATTGATGATTTTGTCAGAAAAATGAAAGAATAAGGGGGTATGTTGAAAATAGGAAAAAAGTGTAATTATAAAAATTTGGGGTTAAAACAAAGTTGGGGGGGGGGGAGGGGTTAAATGGCTATTNGGGGGGGGGTAAATGGCTATTTTGGCAGAGTGCCCGACATTGTCATTGTATACTCCCGCGGGTCGGAAGGCGACGGGGGAAGGAGGGGGACACTGGGCGAGATCTATCAGCAGCGAATTCCCCATACAAATAGAGGCACCTATCAAAAAGATACTTCGAAGGCTTCGAGATCGAGGTCTCATTAGTCGAAGAAGACCCTGGCCAATCCACGTGGCCTGCTTGACGAACGTCAGCGACGGAGACATCGTAAATTGGTCCGCTCCAAACGACTACTTTTTAGATGCCCAAACGGGCAAATTTTTTTTTAAAAAAAATCTGACCGTAGGGACCGTTTAGGCCCGCCAAGGACTGGTCCGGTCGCGGTCTCAAACGGTCCCGGTCTTGCGGTCTCTTTGTGAAAGACCGGCCCACCTCCACGGTCCCGGGCTTATACGGTTAAGGACCGTTTAGGCCCAGAAGCACACATGGGTCGAGGTCCCGGGCCTGGACCGGCCCACATGCCAGGCTTAGAGTAGACTGTTTATATCACACCCCTTGAGGTGCGTCCCTTCCCTGAACCATGTGTGCAGGGGCGGATGTAGTGTGCTAGTTATAGGTTCAACTGAACCCATAACTTTCGACGCGGAGTAAAAATTTCTATACAAAATTTATTACAATTATAAAAATAGTAGATATGAAAATATAATAGGTTTAATTCTAAAAACTTTAAAGCTTGAACCCATAGAATTTAAATCTTAAATCTGGCCCTGCATTAAAATACCTTGTTCACCCCACATTAGAAGGATGTTTTAGATAAAGGGTTTCCTTCCTGTACATCCAAAAATAATTGAAAGAGAATTAGATCTAATGTCGTCTGGACACATTTACACAATAATGATGAAATAAGTCATTTTGGTTAGAGAGGCCGGTGCTTATCCCTCAATACGTAATAGACTACAATGACTTAGTTCTAGACAAAGCAATTGTCCAAACTAACAACTCTTTGGCGATAGAATTTGCTTTTAATTTAGAGATTAGGATAAATGTACTTTTGGATTAGGTAATTTATATTTTTTATTTTAGCCATGTCCCGTATCTGTTTCTATACACTTTGATAGGTCAATCTCTTCTCAGTTGAGTTGAATTTTCTTCAACTTTTTATCTCCATACTTCTACCTAGGGACGTACTTATACACTTCTATATAGCGGATCAACACTTCTATGTAGCCTGCTAGTTGTTGCTTGAACCATTTTGGGGAAGGTGTTTGATGTTTAAATCAAAGTTGGAGGGGGGAAATGAAATTCAGAATTTACAAAAACTGGAATTGTATTTGCTCATTTATAAACAAATACTAGGTTTGCTCATTGAAGCTACTATTCTTTCGTTATCAAGCTGGAGATGATGAATGTCATCACAAACGACACCCCTTTCAGATCTCAATACCATGATATCGCCATCCTTTGTCTCTTTCACGTTCTTGGCTATAATATATTCTTCCTTGGCTGACTTAAGTTCTTTCTCTAAATCCTTTATCTTCATAGCAATCCTGTCAATCTCATTTTCAGTTTTTGTTTTCTTAAGATTGTGATTTCTGATTCTGACCTCTACTTCTTCCAACTTGCCTCGAAGCTGAGCTTTCTTCTCGTTCTCCAACAGCAAATCATTCAAATGACGTTTAATAGGCATTACATCAAATCCATACTCCTCCAACTCCTTGAAAGATGCAAGCATGTTATTGATAAGAGTTGAATTACTAAGTTCAGCAATTGCTAACTCTGGTATCTTCTCAACGATAAGAACATACTTTATCATCTGTTGTAAAGCTGCTTCTTCTCGTTTCTCCTCCTCATATTGTGCCAAGGGTGAAAAATGTGGAAGTTTTGCAAATTCATTCATAGATTCGAATACTTTCCAAAGATTGGAGTTCTTCTTAAATGGTAGTGCAGGACTCCGCTTAGGTGTGGTGATGGAATGTAATTTATCGTCAGGCATTCCATTAGGTTGTTGAGTATTGGTCCCAACAAACGGTTGGACTGCTGCAGCAGAGGCTCCTGCAAATGATGACAAGATTAACCATGCTACTAACAGGGCTAAAAGAAATACGCAGGATATATAAGCAATAGCGCTGCAAGTTAACCTAGCTCCACTCAACAGTTCAGGTCTCAAAAGATTTAATTTAAAAAAACCCGATTGATTACCACATTTGAATATGAAGGTGGGAGTCGTCAACTCGATAGCTTAGGAAGCTGGAACAAACTACTACTTTGATTGGTAGTGGTTATCTTCCATCTAATATTTTCTTTTTATTTTTGATCTTCCTTCAAATATTAAATATCAGGAACCCAATTTTATGTTTTAAGGAAAACACTTCTGGAGAAAAAAGAAACTTTTCAAATTCTTTTTCCTTCTTAAATTCATAGAAAATCATCAAGGTTGAGCTTGTATCAAATTATAAGCTCCAATTAAGCTCAAACTAATAAAAGAAAGAGATAGTAATATGAGATTATGAGATTATTGGCTTAGCAGATAGATACATACCTCTATCTGCAGTAACTGCTGGAGTTAAAACTTTTCCGAATGCACCTGATGTTGATCCTGATCCTGACACTGGAATATTTATAGTTGGAATATTTGAAGTATTAATTTTGGACTCACGGATTTCAAGGATGGAGCTGCGATCATTCATATTATTTTCTTCGTCGACAATAATTGGTATATTTGTAGCTGCAGAATCATGACCTAATAAATGAAAGATAAAGTAACTTTAATGATTGTAGATTTTTCTGCACCAAAGAATACCTATATATATATACACATACCACATCACTCAGAAGCTAACAGCAATACACTTTTCTAACCTTCTTCAGAAGCTACCGGAGGATCAACAATTGGAAGAGCGCTTCGTATTTGAGGTTGAGTATCAATTTCCATCGAAAATGGTGCATTACTTGAAAGATGAGAAAGTCGCCGCCTTTTTGATTCATCTCTTTTAGCTTGCAGTTGCAACAAAAATGATTGTTTTCTCTCGGGTGTCATTTGCGCATATCTAGTGCGACGTCGCGAATTTCTAGCAGCAAGTCGTTGTTCCTTAGTCTTTTGTAGTCTACGCAACACAATATCTTCGTTTGTGAGCATTTCTGTTCCAAATAGTTTATTACTTCGTTAGAGTAATATTTATAATTCTGTTTGATTCTGAAAAAACTATACATTATATTTACTATTTTCGTGTTAACACAAAGTTAGACTAATATTAGCAAACAGCAAATGAAACATATGCAATCAAATAACGCACGCATAGTGTTCACCAATGTAGTCCAGTAAATGATATACCTTTTGGATTCAACACAGAGAGTTTGTCATGTGTAGTCTGTAAAGCAATTTGATACGGATCATGCACATTCTAATATACCACATACCAATCTTTTGCAGTAGAATTGAGTCCGAAAGTAGATAAACGCTATCAAATAAGTTAGCATCTTTTCACATCCCATACCTATGGTATGATCAAACTTGTATACATCAAAAAACTAAACAAATTTCAATTAAGATAAACATTTTTCTCTACTCCAAGAAGAGTTTTTTAAATTTTAAAATAAGAAAAACTATTTTTGTTGAATAGACCCATATCAACCTATCAATTTCTTGAATTTCACACTATTACCCTCTGTCTGTTCTAACTAAAATATATCATCTAAATGTTCAATAATCCCATCAAGCAAAAAACCATTTTTCCCCTTTGCAGCAGATAAAGAATATCTTTCTTACAAATTTGGAAATAAAAACACAAACAAAAAGAACATGTTTGCTTATTAGAGGTGAAACACATAGTACAAACACTACAGATATATCGACTTGTCCATGGCAAAAAAACTTGGGTCAATTCGGACAGAATAATTCAGAACTTGAACCAAATGCATTACTGAAATAAAGTTTTAAATATGTATTTCCAAATATGCAGGAGTAAATCAGACCAAATTACTGACATGCATGTAGAAAATTCAATAAGAACTACCCAAAAAACATTAAAAAAACTAACAGATCCCACCAAAAGAAGTGGAAACAAAACTCACCAAACAAAGAGCAAAACTCAAATTTTAACCCAGAAAACGAAAAAAAAAGTAGCTTAAATTAACGACAATGTGAACTAAGAAAAAAAATCTTTTGAAAAAAATAAAACGAGATATTGTCAAGAGAAGAAGGATGTACCTTGAGCAAGTATGGAAACCCAGATTTATCGATTGAGCGAGAGCTTCTGAAAATAGAAAGTTAGAGAGTAGAGGGAGAGAAAAGTTGTCTTTAGAAATGGATGAAGTAATACCAATTTATCCCTAAAGAAATTTACAATTCCAAGAGTACCCCTGTTCGTACACTTTGGCTATTTAATATGGAGAATTTCTTTCTGAAAATATGTACTTTATTTCAATTACTACTTTCTATAGTGGCATAAGTTTTTCATTTTCAACCTCGAAGAGAAAAATTTGTAAGGAATAAGGACGGCATATTTTCCTTTTTTGACAAAATCAGGACTTAAATTAAAATGTAGAATGGCAAGGCAAACAGGAGAAAAAAGAGACGAAAAAGGATAAAAAGAAAAGGGGGCAAAAGAAAAAAAAGAAGAAGATTGACTCATATTATCTAAAAAGATTTGTTTTAATCTTTACCATTAATATTCCTATCAATTTCATTCAGACCAAACAGGGCATGTCTAGTATACTAGGATATGCAAGGTGAAAAAGTTCTGACATCCTTTTCATTGTAGGCATCGGCGCCTTACTAATCTCACCTCCGCTATGTATAGCTATAAATAATTCAATACTGTCACTAATTGGAAAACGATCATTCGTTCCTTTTTTTTTTCTTTTCAAATTTTTGGGGCTTTAATCTTTATTTCCCTGAAAATTCAGTTCACAGGAGTTGGTGAGTATGGCGACTGAATCAGATTCTTCCCCCAACGACAATTCCCAAAATCAGGGTACGTTTTCTTTTCCTTCTTCTATCTCAATTATTGCTCTTCTACCTTTTTGATTGATTTCTCTAGTATTTTGGTGAACTTGAACCTGCTACTTGGTTGCTGCTATTTTATTTATTTGTCCTATGAATTCTGAATCATCGTATGGATTTGATTATCGGTTTTAACTTTGATGGACCTTTTTTCCTGAATCTTATGTTGCCCTGACAGACAGTGTATATCAGTTAGTATTATTATTTTATATTTTTGATGACGTGGTGTTCAGGCCAGCTTGCACGCACCTTGATTATTACACCAGGTGCTTGTTATCTCGGCACATGTACCAAGTAACTCTGTGCACTAAGGCTTAAGCAAATGTGAAGAGATCACCTGTTTTGTCTGCCTCCCCAGAGATTTGAACCTGGGTCCTAAGGGTTCTCCTCCCACTTTATTGATCACTAGGTTGCTAACACTGGATATCAGTTTTAGGCTCTTCTTCTTTTTGGCATCTTGAATTCAGTAGCAACTAGTGGAGGGTGTTTACTTAATTACCAGATGAGTAGAGTGGTTTGATGTTTTGCATATCGAGATACTAGATAATTTGGTTACTGGTCTGAGGTCTCTGGCAATCATAAGTAAACTACTCCATCAGTTCCTAACACTGTTGACAAAATCTGCTAGCAACAAGAGTAAAGTAATGGTACTCCTATTAAAATTATTGAAAGGGAGGGTGCAGCGTTGCTACAACAGAAATCACTTAATACTCAACACAGAGTCATTTGTTGCAACACTTCGGAAACAGCCTACCTGGAGGGTAGGGGTAAAGTCTGCGTACACATTACCCTCCCCAGGTCCCACTTGTGGGATCCCACTGGGTTGTTGTTGCTGTTGTTGTTTACTGTGTTCATAGAGAAGAAGATTTTATATGTGGAAGAGAGCAATATGCTTTATCCTACCCAAAAGTGAAGCTTCCTAATTCTGAGCCCATTTACACATGCTGCCTGAAATAAACATTTCCTCCCTTCACAGGGAATCCACTTAGTTTATCATATGTTCATCATCTGGGGAGGAAGGAACGAATACCATTGACTGAATTTAGATGTCTGCAATTTGCATATCCAATTATGGTCTATGAAGTTTCTTTGACCAACAATGTTTTTCGTTTTTCGTTTTGGAAAGAGGGAGTTACGGTCTTGCTTTGGAGAATATTTATCCTTTTTCCTTTTGCAAAGAGGGAGAGAACTATCTTTTTTCAGAAAAAGTAGACAAAAGTTACGACACGTGTCAATAGTGTGCTCTTAAAGCTCTTGCAAGAAAAAAGTGAGTTTTTTCATCTGTGGAAGGAGATCTATTTGTACTCGTTACTTATAGTTGCTAATGCTCTATTCTCGTTTTTCCTTATGTTGAAGGTCTATTGGGAACAACCTCTTGACATTCACCGTAGGAGGGGTAAGGTCTGCGTACTATCTACCCTCCCTAGACCCCACTTGTGCGACTATACTGGTTTGTTTGTTGTTGTTTTTGGAAGGAGATCTGTTTGTTGTGCTGCACCTTAGTCAATTCTTTACTAATTCTTCTTCTCAGAATGCTCTTATTTGCTATATGATGTTTATAACTGATTGTATTCAGTGTTTGTGATTTTGCAGCAACCGCTTCTCAACCAGCTGCTAAAGATAATCTTGATTACAAGCCTGAGGCTGCAAGAGGGGACTCTCCAACTTCTGTATTTGTAAACTCGGAACCAGTTCGGGAGGATCAAGTCCAAAATGCTGTCAAGTTTCTTTCACATCCAAGAGTTAGGGGATCTCCAGTCATGTATAGGCGTTCTTTCCTTGAGAGGAAGGGGCTCACAAAGGAGGAGATAGATGAAGCATTTCGTCGAGTTCCGGTAGGTAACTTTCTGATGTTTGACCTTCGATCTTGGCTTAATTATTACTGAAGCATGTACGGATAAAATTATGATGTACATCAAAAACATTCGCAATGACAGGATTCTTCTCCAAGTGTTTCTAGCACACAGCCAGTAGCTGCAAATGAAGGTGATTCATAATGTTCTTTCGAAAGAACCTTTCGTGTTGTGTGTGTGTGTGTTTTTTTTTTTTTTTTTTTGTCTAATTTGAGAACATAATAATACTCTTGTGACATTGCTGCTTTGATATCTTGATGATAGATGAGAAAGTGAAATCTTCGTCGACTACTCAAACACTGGCTGCATCGCAGAATCTCCTGCCTGCATCAGCTTTACATAGTAATACCATGACAAAAATGGGATATTTCTCTCATTTCCACTGGACTCATGCGGTAATGGCTGTAGGTATACTTGCTGCTTCAGGAGCTGGTACAGCTTTACTTTTCAAGGTATATTTGGTAAAGAGTTTCCATCTATCATGCCACTTGTTACCACATGTGCAGAATCGAGTATGTATCCTGTCATTGGCTAATTGAGGATTTGATCTGATGGATCTTCAAACTGTTGAGATTTCTGAAGGACCACTAATTGAATATTGTAGTCAAAACCTTTTCTTTGCGTAATTTTCTACTTAATTGGTGACCCTTAATGGTTTTCTTAAACTTTCTCTCAAATAAATTTATATATCCATCAAAACTGAAGATTCATGCTTATCTCAAAGTTCTTCCCTTTGGACATGAATGCAGCCTCCTATTTATTTCCTTTTAATTTAAACTAGTATCAGATATGCGACCTTTTCAATGTGAACAATTATTGCTTTTCAAAAGAGAAACTCAATTGTTTGATTGTCCTTGTTTTTGGCATCATTATGGTACACGTCCATGGGATTATTCAATGAATTATTTTATGGGATCATCAATAAGTTGGTGGAAACATTAAATGCTTTTCTTTCTAATGCAATATGAGGGCATTTAGGCTTCTCGATTTTACCTTTTCCTCTTATAGTGTTGGTTTTTGAGTAGCCTTAAAGCTTGTTCTACATGGGGGTAACTTACATACGAATTTTTTGTTAAGTAGTAGTTGAGCGTTAGTTATTTCTTGAGGGTTTGCACCTTGAATTCCTTTTTGGTACACTTAGTTACTTGATCAGATATATGGAATTAGGTTTTAAACTGTAAAATTGGTTTAAGTTCTTTATTTTCGTTCAAAATTTTACTTTTGGCAGTTTAACCTTGTAGTAGCGAAGTAACTAGTGTTTTTCTCTTATATAGAAAGGAAACCTAAAGCAAGCCTAGAAATCCGTAAGAGCTGATATTTGACTGTTCAATTATCTCTTGAATGTGATTTTGCTCTGATGTAGGAAACTTTTTGCGCGAGGATGGAATAGTCACTGTGAAAATATATTTCACCTTTTAGGTCATTGAGAAACCTAAATCAAGCCTAAGAAGCTCATATATATTTGATTTGATCAAGAGTATCTCTTGAGTGTAAAGTTTTTCTGATATCTGAAACATTTTGCATGGTAGATTGAGCAGTGACCATGATGATATATTTGACTATTTAAGACAGTTGAGAATAGTTCATACTGTAATAAGTAGGACAATTTTTAAGACTATTATCTTAACTCACCCAGTAACGAATATCTATTGTTCTGACTCTTCCATTCTGTGATTCAATTAGATTCTAATATTCATGTTATCGAACAAGGATTTAATTCTTGGTCTGAATCAATCTTTGGAAAGTATGCTTTAATGGGTTCGAGAGGAGGTAGAGGACGGCTTAAGAAGTATTGGGGAGAGGTGATCAGGCAGGACCTGGCGAGATTGCAGATTTCCGAGGACATGGCCTTTGATAGGAAGGTTTGGAGGTCGAGCATTAGGGTTGTAGGATAGGGGGGTGTCGAGCTTCCCCCCTCCATTCCNAGGCTTGTGGTTAATGTAGAGTTCACACTAACCTTGCTGTTTCCCATAGATCTAGTCCTTAGTTGTGGGTTATGGTTATTGCTTGTCATCTATTTTATGGTTTTTAGGATGCTGTCATTATTTCTATGGCTATGTTGACGTTACTGATGAATTGTCTTTACTTGTTTTCTTATTTTATTTTTCCTAAGCCGAGGGTCTATCGGAAACAGCCTCGGGTAGGGGTAAGGTCTGCGTACACACTACCCTCCCCAGACCCCACTTAGTGGGACTTTACTAGGTCGTTGTTGTTGTTGTTGTTGCTTCTAGTCTATGTATTATATTGCTAGCATCACTATCACCCCACTTAAAATGTTGATTTGCTTTTGTCAGCACACGATTATACCCCGGTTTAAGTCTTGGATTCGCAAGGTTGTAATGGAAGAAGAAGATGAAAAAGGCGCTGTGAAGGGAAGACCAAGTTTAGCAGAAGAAGCGGCTCTTGCTGCAAAAGCAGCTGCAGCAGCTGCTGCTGATGTGGCCCGTGCAAGTCAGGAGATGCTGGCATCTAAAACTGAAGGTGTGTTGTAAAGTTCTCTGCTGTTAATGCTGAAACAGTTTATCTTCCTTGCACTTTAGTACATACCAATGCTAAGCTTATCCAATCATTAGTATTTACGATGAATAATCTTCTTGGTGATTAAACCTGCTGTCCGCCACAGAGAAAAGGTACTTTGAGGAGCTAACAAACCTGTTAAACTACCAAGTTCGAGAGATGAAATCAATGAGCAGTGCCTTACAAAATCTGGAAGGTGAGTACAGAGTTGCTTCCGGATCATGCTTCTGCTACCACTTTGTCTCTTTTTTCTCCTTTTACCTTTCCACTTACTATTTGGGAAGAAATGGTTAAGGTATAAAGTACGTCCCTTTTGACCATTATTGCTATTAGAAGTAACATTCATGCAAGTTAAAGCGGATGCGTTTTGGAAAATATGGGGATATGATGTGTAGACTTCTAGCTTCACTTACTGAGATTATAGAGTAATAGGTGCCTGTCATTCTTGATAAAGGGAGGGGAGGGAGGGAGGGGGGAGGGAGGGACTTTTGCTGGTTCTACCTTCCTTTGAGGCTTGGCTACTTTGCTTTAGATCTTTTTGGCTTTAGGCCTTGGTATTTATATGTGATTAAACACTCCAATTTCTGCTTGCACGTGTCAGTGCATATTTATAGTGTCTCAAATGTGTCTCCTCTCTCACTCTATGTAGATCTCGTGATGGTGGCTATATTCTGAGGGGCTTCTATGCAGTTTATGCTGTGGTAATAGTTTATATCACTTTAGTGGTTTCTGTAAAAGTTTTGACCCTCAAGCGTAAAAGACCAGACATTTGAATCTGGAAACTTCTGCATTTGCTTGATCACAGTGACCATGGCCCCATAGGTCCCGATAAACTGGAAACAAAGAAAAGGGTTTTGCCTGCATTTATTCATGATTGAATATTCTATTTTCATATTCCTTATCCTCCAACCACCTCAAAAAATAAAGAAAGATAAAGGGACGGTATGATGCATAGCGAGCTCCAGGTACCTGATTGGAATTTCTGTGCATTCAGGGAAAAGTAGCACTACTGGAAGAATACCAGCCATGCAACAAGATGATCGAAGAATTTCGGTTTCCCATTCTAGGGTGAGCTGTATAGTTACAGATAGACTTGCGTCTTATTTTTGATTAATCTCATTGACTTTTAAACTTCGCTTTCTGATATTCTTTGATGGTACAGCAATCCTATGCAAGTGGAGAACTCGATGTTGATGCACGTTCAGGTTCTAATTTCTATTTCTAGCTGCTGATTGCTCCTATATCACTAGTTCTTTTTATGCCGATTCTGTGTGATTCGGGTCTTTTTTGTAGTGAGATCTTTGTCACCACCTGCATCTGTGGAACCATCTGTTGCACCCCACCCAAAATCTTATATGGACGTAAGTTCCTCATCATCTGGGTTATTACTGATTTTCCAAACTAATAAGTTGTCTCTTCTCTTGTTCATCATCTATCTTACCTTTTTAACCAATGTAGCATACAACTTTGCTGTTCAAATATGACTGATCTGAAAGTCTGTCAACCTTACTTTGCTATCATGTAGAGTTTCTAGATCAATTTATCATTTATATATTTCTGTCTGGCTACCTTTGAAACTCTGTTGAAAGGAAGAAGAGGGGGGGGGGGGGGGGGGGGGGTTGCTCCTTTTGATTTCAAGGGCCATGCTTTCAAGGGAGGGGATGAAATGTTGAACAAGGAGAAATGAACTCGACGGCTTTTCAGCTCATTCAATTTGTTTGGCTTTCTTCTGAATTAAGATGCTAGAAAATTATGTTAGATTCTCCCTGGGAAGAGTTAGGGAAATCAGTTAATCTAACTTTACAATCATTTTGTAGATCATGGCTATGATTCAAAGAGGAGAAAAGCCCTCGAACATCCGAGTGAGTCCAGGCTTCTGATTTCTCCAATAGACATAACCTTAAGTTTTTGATGAACTTGTTGTGCTCTTACCTGTATACGTCTTTTGTTGCAGGATATAAATGACCAGCCACCAAATCCTAACCAGCCTGTACCAGAGCCTCGTGTTGGTCCAAAGCCTAAGGTCTCTTCTCTTTCCATTATTTTACCTACAGAATTGGGATTCATACAATTTACATTTTTTCGCGGATAAGACTTAGAAATTCCTTGTTTGAACCTCTAACCTTAAATTCTAACTTTTTGCTGCGTGTATTTGTTTGGTCCTGCTGGTTCCATTTTCTATAAGTCAGTGTGCAGCCTGCATTTGGACAACATGATAAACTCTAATACACCATCTTCCACTTGAAATCTTCCTTTTTGTAGCTCAAACCTAAAGCAACAGAAGTAATGATCCTTAACTGATGTTATTATCACTGCATTTGATGTTTATGGAGTATGCCCGTCATTGTATAGATTTTTATACAACGGTCACTTTGATTTGGATAACAAAATTATGGTTTTATCTCTTCGTGATAGACCTTTCTATTTGATGTATTTTCTCTTGCCTAATCTGTGATAGATTTTACTATGTTGGTTGTGAACAGCCTTGGGAAATTGGCCAAAGTCAAAACAGTTCAGGGAATCTTCTCCAATCTCAAGGGAGTGGCGATGGCTTGAATTATGGGTATCAAAACAATCCGACGAATAGAGACAGTTCAACGCCATGGTGGCAACGCAAGAATGCCAGAATAACAGAAATTGAAGCTGTGAACGAACAGAAGTTTGGATCTACTGCTCCACCAGCCGAGGCACGACCAGTTCAGCGATCCTGGGTTCCTCCCCAGCCACCTCCAGTTGCAATGGCAGAAGCAGCTGCAGCCATCCGACAGACAACCTAAAAAGACTTTGTTTCAGAAAGAAAAGCTGGCCGATAATGAGCTGATATCTCGTTCCTCAGAAATATCAGATGACTTGCAGAGGATTACAAAAGTCTCCGAATCAGGTGGTCTCACTGAAGTTAATGGTTCAAGTTCTGGACAACAGTTGAGTGAGGCACCTATTACAAATGGTGACTCTATCTTGAGCAGCTGAAGTATCTTTTCTTGTACCTAAGGTTTGGTTATTTGGTCTTGAGGTTTATCACAATCTTGTAAGTACATTTTATCGATGAACTCAAGATTCTCATGCTTCCATTGTGCTTCTAGGTTGAAATTTAGAAGTCTACTTCTTAGCTTGCTCTTATGTGAGAAGATCATCTTGTTGTACCAAAAGTTTATTTGCAACAACCACCACTCACCCACAAAAGAATAGAGAAAACCCATTTTGATTTTTCATTAATTGTTTTAAAGGAAACTCATTTTCATTAATTGTCTATCGGAAACGGCCTCTCTGCCTTTGTAGGATAGGGATAAGGTTGCGTACACACCACCCTCCCCAGACCCTACGTATGGGATTAAGCTGGGTTTGTTGTTGTTTGAAAGCACTCAGCTGGCCATTATCAGTTTTAATTTCTTGTACGGTGTCCTATAAGCTCCATAATGCACAAAAATGTGTATACCTTTTTAAAAAAAAAAGAAAAGAAATCGATACTTTGAAATTTGTTAACTATCTTTCTGGAAGATACTGAGAAGAAGATAATTATGTAGGTCATTGGTACTATATAGTGGTCACCTTAGACCGACAGCTTCTTGTGCAGCCAATGAGAGGCATACGTGTGTGTTGTATTTATTCTAAAATAAATGTAAAGATAATTTAGAGTAAGCGTTACCTGAAAAAATTAATCACTAGTGTGTCAAGTGAGGGATCCATTACTTATTATATTGAGTAGGACAAAAAAAGCCTAATTGCATTAAATTTTCAATTAAGGAGGTAAGCGGCCACTCACTCGCCCAGCCTCCAACTCTCCTTTTTGAGTGCTTTCCTAATCCAAGTGTGTTGTTTTTATACTTTACTTGATTTTCCTATTGTTTAATAATGACGAATATGATGTTAATTTTTGAATCATACCATTGGAACATAAAGCTCCTATTTTTTCAGTTTCTGTATAATCAAGTTTTTCTTCTTCCTATAGTGTAACATTTGATTGTGATGACCAAATTGGATTAATTGGCGGAACCACATATTCTAAGGAATTAGTCACTCGTGCAGTTAGGGGTGTACATGGACTGGGTTGGTTCGGATTTTATCAAAATCAAACAAACCAATTATATCGGTTTGGATTGGTTCGGTTTTATCGGATTTTTCGGATTTTTTTTAATATATAAATATTATTTCAATCTTGCATTATTGAAATTATAGATAAAATTTTGATGCGTGAATATGTTTACTAAAATTTAAAAAACAAATAACAAACATATGACCTATTAAAGTGATCTTGCGGGAGATTTTTTTTTAGTAACACATAATAATTTATTTTCTTAGTCGTCTACCAATAATATTTGATTGATGTACGTTTTCAGGGTTAATCAAATTTAATAATTAAACATAAAAATCAGTACGATACCTAAATAATGATATATTCTGTGTAATTTTAGATTATCGAACACTTCAAATTCGAAAAATATATAATAAATTTTGACATATGAATATGAAAGAATAAAGAGATGATTGACGCATTTCAATAACACCATAATAAGAAAGTGATACAATCTATTATTTAAAGTAAATAAAAATGAATGCACTTTATAGTTCTATTAAATATTATATCCCATGAGAGGATCTCAAATATTTCTAGACATCTTTTAAATAAAATTCTATATAAAGTCTTAAAATTATATATAAAAACCTATATATTTATATGTCGGTTTGGTTCGGGTTTTTTTACTCAATACCAAAACAAATCAAACCAAACCTAGTCGGATTTTTTAATCGGTTTGGTTTGATTTTTCGGTTTGGTGCAGTTTTCCGGTTCAGTTTGTACACCCCTACGTACGTGCAGTCATGCTCGCACAACAACTAAAAAGGATAATATGAATTTGTTAAATGATTAAAATTGATGCCTCGTTCAAAATCATCAGAAAGAAGATCTGAATTCAATAAATCTTCTTCATCGCTTATCTTATACTTTTGCTACCGTTTTTCTTTTCAAAACATACTAATAAGTGAGCAGAAATTTTGACAAGAACATCAATATATTCGTTTTATGTTTTAACTAAATGCTTTAGAATTGTACTCTTTCTGTGGAAACAGCATTAACAGTGGCGGAGGCAGATCTCCACCAAAAGGGTTCAAAAAACTTTTTTGTAGCTAGTGGGAATTGAATCTATAACCTTATGAGGGTTTTGAACCCCCTTGATCACTAAACTACATTTTTGGATTGTGATAAGGGGGTTCAAAACTTGATATATAGAGATAAAAAATAGATTTTACTTTATATGTATAGTGTAATTTTTCGGCGAAGGGGATTCGGGTGAAGCCCTTCCGTCCCCCTAAATCCGCCCCTGCGCGCATATTGAGAGCTTAATGTACCGGGCTGCCTTTATGTACTCTTTCTGTTTTGACACACATTATATTATGTTACATAGCTTTAGAAGGACCTTAGTCACGTTACACCAATTCGATATGGGCTTAGCACCCAACACTTTTAATTAAATAACAAATTAAAGTTTTACGTCGCTACGTGAGGCATTCACAGCCGTGTTTTCGACGGCGTTCAAGACCAAACACCTATAAAATAGACCAACATTTTTAATTCTTAGACCAACTTATAAGACTATTGACTCCTTCAACAAGAAGGGGCAGAAATTAATTTAAAAGTTTGTATGCTCACCATTATTTCAATATTAATTAAGACTTGTATTTGTTAGAATCGAAATAATCAGTTGTCATGCAGAAGCTAGTAAAGAAACCTTGAACAACGATAAATCATACAACAAAAGAGAAATAAATCAAAAGAGACACAAACATTTAATGTGGTTCGATCAATTTGATCAACATCCACGGGCGGAGATGAGCAATCCACCATATAAAAGAGTACAAAATACCGAGAGAACAACCTCATGAAGAGGCAAACACAAGTGGCACAAACACTTGTCCCGTAAAATTCTTCCCCTAAACAAGACTCTCAAACCCCATATGGATACATTGTGAATGCTACTGAATGAGAAGGAAGGATCCTCAATTTATAGAAGTCCAAATCCTTTCCTACAAGAAACAAGACTAGCCAAATATGGGAGATTTATAATTTAATTTTCTTCTAGGAAAAAAAAATTCAATTATGGTAAATATGTTATTCCTTCCTTCAAGAGATAGGAAAATCAAATATGGTAAGAAAATCAGGACAACACCTATCAGTATTTTGGTGGCTTTTTCAACTGTTAAGTGGGTTTTTGTTGAATTGTGGATGCATATAATTTACCATGGTTAAATAATTGAAGTCCATATTCAAGACACATATCATGTATCTATTGGTTTGGTGTAACACCCGGTGTGGGTAAGTATTTACCGCAAGATTATATTGGACATAACCAATTTTCTATTGGGGTAGTACTATCTTACTTTTGAATATTACAAATGTATAAATTGAATTTTGGTCAAAACTCAAAATGCTAGTTGAAAGTGAGGACTGTAGACCTCATAATATTAAACAAAAGAAATCTTCAAAAAGAGCTCTCTTTAGTTGATTTAGGTCTCTTTATCAAGAAAAAATCTTTTCTTTTGGAAAGGTGCTATCTCGTTAGTATCATAATTAATTTTCATATTCGATTTTTAGATAACATTTAAAACCAATAAAAATCATATCATCCTCTCAAAGATGAAATAAATATCATGCGTGGACTATGTAGGTGGGAATCTAAGAAGGAAGGCAATGGCAAATTCCTTGGTACCTCAGACAAACATAAAAATGCATAAGTTATTGAAAAAATCCAAAGAATCAAGTCTAAATTAATTAATTGTGGGAATATAATCATATAGCTTCAACAATATACCATATGCAGTCCATAGATGTGAATGATTCTCAGTTCGTCGTCATGCTTCGTTATGTCGCTTTTAATCCTCCGCCGGCATCTTAAGGATTTGATTATATATAATCCTACTATTCTATTTGTCCACGTATATATATATATATATATATATATATATATATATATATATATATATATATATATATATATATATATATGTGGTCAAATAAAGAAAGGAGATAACTACTTGTTCCCTCGCGCAACACACCCCTAGCACGAAATATCTTGAGTATAACAACAATAACGACCACGGTAAAATTCTACGAGTGGGATCTGGGGAGGATAGTGTGTATGTAGACCTTACTTCTACCTCGATGAGGTAGAGATGTTGTTTCCGATAGACCCTCGACTCAAGAAGATAAAAAGATATGAAATATCTTGAGTGTGAACGATATAATATAAACATGTAATTATAACGCAAATAGCATAACCTGTGGTTCAATATTAGTAATATCAAGATTGTGAGTGAATTTGACTCTAATACAGATCTTGAGCTTAACTCAACTCCACAAAATAAATACAAATTCTCCTAAGTCATATGAGGGTACAACAATAATTTTTGACTATAACACTATTACTATATGCTATATTATGACATTCCAGGTGATATCAGAAGAATCCACATCGATAATATACGAAAAAAATATTGTATTTATAAGTAAACAGCCTTAAAATTTCCTGATGTCTTCTAAAATTGTGAAGGTGTAGGCCCAAACCTTTACAAGTTTTAAGAATTTAATTGTATTATATACATTAAAATTAAATTGTAAAATGAGAGTACTTTTCTTTCATCAAACTAAGAGCCGGTTTGGACATAATTTTTTTTTCTCCTTTTTTCCAAAAAATTTTTACTTTTTTCCGAAATAAGTGTTTAACAACAACGACAACAACTACCCAGTAAAATTCCACATAGTGGGGTCTGGAGAGGGTAATGTGTACGCAGATCTTACTCCTGCCCCGATAGGGGCAGAGAGACTGTTTCCGATAGACTCTCGACTTAGGAAGACGAAAATAAAGTAAGAAAAAGCAAGAGGAGAGAATTCATTAGTAACTCCAGTAGAAATCGTAATAGTAACAGAAACATAAAAACCGAGAGATGAATGACATGCAATAACAGTAACCATAATCTAAGGCCCGGGGCTAAGACAAACAACAAGAATAGTGTGGGTCCCACATAAACTGTAAGCCATCTAAGGCCAATCCTAATCCAACCCCGCCTCGGCCCCGGAATGAAGTAAGGAAAGTTTTACTCCCCCTATCCTACAACCCTAATGCTTGACCTCCAGGCCTTCCTATCAAGGGCCATGTGCTCGGAAATGAGCAGTCGCGCCATGTCCTGCCTGATCAACTCTCCCCGAAATAAGTGTTTGTTCATAAAATTTCTAATTTTCATTTGAAGATGCATTTTTGCAAATTTTAAAAACTCCAAAAAGTTATTTTTCAAAATTTTCACTCACAAAACTTCAAAAACAACCCAAACTGAGGGTGTGTTTGGTATAAAGGAAAATATTTTCCGGAAAATGTTTTTCAATTTTCCCATGTTTGGTTGGCTTAAATGTTTGGAAAATATTTTCCTTATCAATTCATTTTCCTCCAATTTGAGGAAAATATTTTCCTTATCAAGAGAAGGGAAAACATTTTCCAAAGCTCCTTCTCAACCTTCCCCACCCTCACCAACCCACTCCACCCCCTCTCCAAAAAAAGGTTTTTTTTTTTTTTTTCAATTACAGTTTCCGTTACCAACCACCCTACTACCCCACCCCCTACCCCCCGACGCTAAAAAAAAAAAAAATTTTTTACCTTCATTTTTTTTTGCAATTTCAAATTTCTGTTTTTTTATTTTTCTGCACCACCCACCACCCACCCCAATCCCCCCACCTGACCCCCCCCCCCCCCAAAATTACTTTCTTTTGTAATTTAAATTTCTGTTTTTTTTTGTTTTACTGCCCCTCACCACCCTGCGCCCCCCTCCCCCCACCCCACCCCGAAAAAAAAATTTTAAATATATTTTTTAGTTTTAATTTTATTATTTATCGGTTTAAAGGCTCAAAATTTTACAAGTTCCAAAATTATGAGTTCGGAGGTTTATGTGTTTGGAAGCTTACGGGTTTAGAAATTATAAAGTTTACGGGTTCGAAATTCCGCGGTTTTGAAAGTTTAGCGGTTCGAAAGTTTATGAAATTTGTGGGTCCGGAAGGTTGTTGGTTTGGAAGTTTATAACTTCATGTTTATTATATCTAAATTATTTATGAATACTCTTGAGAAGTCATTTTCCTTAATTTGCGTACCAAACACCGGAAAATTAATAAGATTACTACTTATTTTTCAAGAAAATATTTTCACGGAAAACATTTTCCGTTATACCAAACACACCCTGAAACTTATGTCCAAACACAACTCTAAAATTTTAAATACCATTTTTACTTGAAAATTTCCATTTTTTGGAATTTTACAATTCTTATGTCCAAACGCCTAGTAAGTTTTGGATCATTGTTTAATGTATTATGCGTTGTGTTACTCATTTCTATAGAGTACCGAAAGTTAGGGGAAGTATTTCAATATTAAACGTTTAAAACAAGAGCAAATAATGTTTGTACTTTGTACTATAAGACAGGTACGCTGCAGTGAGCATCGTTCATACGAGCCACACATTAATCCACAAACGAACAAAATATAGCCAGAACGAGGTACACAGTACCCCTCTCTCTCTCTCTCTCGCTCTCTCTCTCTCTACACGGCTGTTGCTAACTTTATTGCCAAAGATTGCACTTTGGTTTGTTGTAAACTTCCTTTTACATTTCTTGAAAAGCTGAATTTCTTTCCTTACTCCAGCGGTGGGAGCAATCAATTGAAATGGCGCTGAATTTGTTGTCCCCTGCTGAAATTAAGACCATCTCTTTCTTGGACACCTCCAAATCCAGCTACAATCTTAACCACCTTAAGTTCCAAGGTTCTCTATTTCTACCTACCCATATAAGTTTCTTGGACTTGATTTTGAGGCTAACTCTGCTAATAAATATTTCTATTGATTTTGTGTTTTAGGTAGAGTGGCTATCAAAAGAAAGGAGTGCAGTGGGATTTCTGGTAAGAGGGTTCAGTGTTCAGTTCAGGCACCTCCTCCTGCCTGGCCTGGAAGAGCTGTTGCTGAAGCCCGGAAAAGTTGGGATGGTCCAAAGCCTATCTCAATTGTTGGCTCCACTGGCTCTATTGGAACTCAGGTTTCTGAATTTTGAAATGATTAATATTCAGTAATAAATACTTTGGAAATAAGTATTGTCTTTTTAAGTCTTGATTGGTTCTAGCTTTGAGGTTGGACTGAAGCACTAGTAGAATTTCTTAACGCTTTTGTATGTGTTAGTTACTTTGCAGTTACAGTGTAAACTAAAATTCTAACTAATTTTTATAAAAGAGGATGAAAAGATTCAATATTTCATGGATTCTAATATTCCCATTCTGTATCTTTTTTATCTGTTGTTCTTTGTTATTGGTGGTGTGCTGCTTTTGCTACTGTGTCAATTATGCCAGTTGTCTTTTGCTTCTTTTTTCTTTCTTTTTCTTTTTGTATTATCTTAGGTGAATGAAATTCCAGTTAGTATATGTTGCTTTACTATTTGAGAGAATCAATTTTTTTGTTTTGATTCTCTACTTTTTGTATGCTAGTAGTATACAGGAATCTTTTCAATAAATCAATGCAATTTATTACTTTTACTAAAGAAAATGACAGTTGTCTTTTGTTTAAGTTCTTCATTGCTCGAATTATAAAATTTGTGTCTGCAGACATTGGATATAGTCGCTGAGAATCCGGATAAGTTTAGAGTTGTCGCACTAGCTGCTGGTTCAAATGTTACTCTTCTTGCTGATCAGGTTAGTTTTCATTTAATGCACACAAGTGAAAAAATGCTATGAGATTTCAAGTCCGAATAGAGTATAGGCGTCCAACCTCTCACCTTTATTATCTGTATCTGCATTAACATTTTGTGGTCATTATGCGGCTGCTGCAGTTTATAGCGCGACTGCTTTTGTTTAAAGAAACGATGATTATTATATTTAACTATAAAATGCTGCCACCTCATTCCACCTGGCTGCAGTGGCGAAGCCAGAAATGTTTCCAAGGGTGTTCAGACTTGAAAAAACTAAAAAAAATTCCCGACAAAGGGTGTTCAATATATGTTTTATACATCTAAAATCAATATTATACTTATATATGCAGTGTAATTTTTCGTAATATTTCGGTGAAGGGTGGTCAACTACCACCCTTTATAAAAGGTGGCTTCGCCCCTGCCTGGCTGTTTCCCTACCTGCTGAATGCTACCAGCCTAGACGTTTCATGTTTGCAGCATTTTGATTGACATATCCCATTAACCATGTTGAAATCCAAATGTCAAGGCTATGCTTGCTTTCCAATCCGTGCTTTTTTCACATTTTGTTTTTGGGTTTTGGAAGAAGAGCTTCCCACTCAAGGGAATGATGATAATCATTCAAGCTCATTTTATATCATGCCCTATTTATATTTTGGATTGCAATTTGCACAAATGTGATGGAAATATTGTTTCTCCAATATGGATACCCAACAATCGAGCTTCTCTGCTTAGACTTCTTTATCTGGCTATCAGGTCTAGTTTAGCTTTTGCCTTGATGATAAACAATGTTATATCTGAGTAGGTCAAAACATTCAGACCAAAACTAGTTGCTGTTAGAAATGAGTCATTGGTTGAGGAACTCAAAGATGCTCTGGCTGATATGGACGACAAGCCTGAGATTATACCTGGTGAGCAGGGTATCATCGAGGTTTGTCCAACTGTCCCTAACTTTATTTTTGGCGACTAGGAGTCTGTTTCACTTGTTGGTAAAATTACTTTGTGACATTTGAAAGAAATATGTTGATCATCGTCGTCTATGATGTGTTTCAGGTCGCCCGCCATCCTGATGCTGTCACTGTAGTTACAGGAATAGTTGGTTGTGCAGGTTTAAAGGTGAGGTTGAGGTTTAGTCTATCTGAATCTTTTCAAAATTGTTGCGATACTCCTGCCAAGATATCCTTATGCGCAGCTAAAGCAAATTTGAAGAGGAGCGCTGAGAGGGTGAAATGTGATTTATGTCCTGTTTCTGTTTTCCTTTTTTCTTTTGGGTGGGGATGGGGAGTGGGGGCAGGGAGGTTGGCGATTGGAGGGAGCTCCCATGGAAAGAGAGAAAATTAAAAAAAGTAGACGAGATGTACCCCGCTCAAGTAAGAATTAGGAATCAACTAGTAGAAGATTTCTCGAAGTTGCTTTTTGGGTTGTATAATGGCAGTATGGAGAGACTTCCAATTTTACCCCGGAATGAAGCAAACTGCCTTCTTTCTATCCATGGTTAGGAGATAATACTACTTTCAGCTAGCCGTTTATTACCTTGTAGGCAAAAATTCATGTAACTCCAATCACCTAGAAAGAGAAGTCTAGATCTTCAACATAGCTAGTTTTCTTCTACTATACTTTAATCATGCTTGAATGATTTTAGCTAAAAGTAGCATTGTATGCTAGTTTGCTAATGATAGAAAATGTCAGTCATTGCTCTTCTTGCTTTGCTCTTTGATAAATACATCTTCGTTTCTCCTCTCGGCTAATATAAAGCTAGTGAATAAGTCAAGAAAAAATGTGAATCATTCAGAAAACGGGCTCAAATTTATTAGTCTTTGTTTGCTTCACTAGCCTACAGTGGCTGCAATAGAAGCAGGAAAGGACATTGCCTTGGCCAATAAAGAGACTTTAATTGCTGGTGGTCCATTTGTCCTTCCTCTTGCGCACAAGCATAAGGTGAAGATTCTTCCTGCAGATTCAGAACATTCAGCTATATTCCAGGTACAATTCTATGAGGCTGAGACTGTCTTAAGATCTTTCTGCGAAACTTACTGAGTATGATCATTGTAAATATAATCATACACCTCTTATCAACCTTCTGTTTTGCATTGACTAATCTCCAAAATAACTTCCCACCCCTGGTCTCTTCAAGGCTAAGAGAGAAATATTCTAATAAGTTTTTCCTCATTTCAGTGCATACAAGGCTTGCCAGAGGGTGCCCTTAGGCGCATTATATTAACTGCATCTGGAGGGGCTTTCAGGTGTAAAATCTTGAATACTGATAATTTGTGCAACATCTCAGTTTTAATCCTTGTATTGCAACATTCATATCAATCCGCTAGTCTAAATATTCAAAAAAATTCTGTTGTCCTCCTTTCTTTTATGTGAAACAGTTATTCGAAATGTTTTGCACTACTTCATTATATTTTTTCACCTTTCCTTTAATCATATGTACGGCATGTAACCTTAAAACTGCTTATACTGTCACTGATAGGGACTTGCCAGTTGAGAAGTTGAAAGAAGTTAAAGTAGCTGATGCTTTGAAGCATCCCAATTGGAACATGGGGAAAAAGATTACTGTTGATTCTGCCACCTTATTCAATAAGGTATCTAAACTGTTGTTTTTAAATCTTTTCTCCATGATTATTGTTTCTTAAATTTCCAGCTGTTATTCCATATGTGAATCATCGGAGTTGGGTTATGAATTATCTGTGTTAGCCTAGGTTTAAAGGTATGTTTGTTTCTCAGGGTCTTGAAGTTATTGAAGCTCACTACCTTTTCGGAGCTGAGTATGATGACATTGAAATTGTCATCCATCCCCAGTCCATCATACATTCAATGGTGGAAACACAGGTAAAGATCCTTCAGCTCTGAGATTACATCAGTTATGTAATCTAGATGAATATTCTTATAACTGCATGCTCATAAATTGACGGCTTTGGAATTCTTTTTCCTTCTGTAATTTGTAGGATTCATCAGTATTGGCACAGCTAGGGTGGCCTGATATGCGTTTGCCCATCCTTTATACTTTATCCTGGCCCGACAGAATTTACTGCTCGGAGGTTACTTGGCCGCGCCTTGATCTTTGCAAGTAAAAACCATTCTTTCTTTGTGAATGCATTTTATTTTGCTTATCGCTCTAAGCTCGCTAGAGATCTATGTTTGCTTACAGCTTCATTTTTTTTTTCAAATATGAAATGAACTTTGGCATTTCATTTCCAGTTAGTATAAGTAATTATGAGCGTAATGGTATAGGCTCGGATCATTGACATTTAAAGCCCCTGATAATGTAAAATATCCATCCATGGATCTGGCTTACTCTGCTGGGCGCGCTGGAGGGACCATGACTGGAGTTCTAAGTGCAGCAAACGAAAAGGCAGTGGAATTATTTATTAGTGAGAGGTATGTAGTATGTATTCCTACATTCGACTTCTGTACAGGGTCATATTATATGTTTCAAATATTTAGTTTGCTACTAAATTCAAGATTCGGTATGGCACCTAGTTGTAGTCACAGCAACTCTATCTAAAACTAAAATTAACGCTATGACAGTGACATCTTTTTTTTGTGGTTTGTTTCGCCATTAATTCGTCAAAGGACATGGGTGCTGGATAACGTCAAGGGATGTGGAGGTCGTTGCATCCATAGTAGTTAATCCGTCTATCCTAATTTCTTGATATTGATCATTGGGTCTATCAGCACTTAACAGTTTCCATAACAAATACATAATATATCCTTTTTTAATCTACCAATATCTGAGGTTGCCTTTGGTATGCATAAGTTAATTAGTGTTAAAGCTAAGTATTCTTGTTTGGCCATAGAATGATAAACACTTAAGTTTCCCCTGTACTTGCTGCATAAATCTGTTCGTTCTCGTTGAATGTGGTTTAGAGTTAATTGATATATATGAAGTGTAGCCTATTCTTCTTGTTCCCCGTTCCTCTCTGGCTGGAAGAATGCATTTGTAATCTTTCTGATTGAATGTGGTTCAGAGTAAATGGATGATACTTATTGTTGCCTAATCATTTTCTGGTTGTGTTTTTCGGTCTTTCTCGTGGCACTGCTAGAAATAATCTATTTCCTCGTTCACCTTCAAAATATAACTGTTTTTGGTCTGTTATTTTTTTCTTATACATTGATTTCTCCTGCCAAAGTTAGTTCAAAGCTGAAATTGGTGATATCAGTAATCATTAAGTGATTTTAAGCGGACAATAATGGCTTTGCCTTGCTTGATAAAACAATTCGTGCTTAAACCTTCCCCTTTGATTGTGCTCTTTTCTACAGCTAGCATTCTACAAACATAACTTGATGTCTGTAATCTTTGAGCCTGCCAAAGAATTGTCCCTTGGCCCTATGCTGCATGTTTTTGCTCAGCTACAGTTAGATATCAGTTCTACATCTTGATTTGCTCAACAAATTTTCTTAGTAGTACTATATTTCTGTGTTTTTTTAAATCGTCAAGATTGTGTATGTCTTGTAAATGACCCAAAATCATTTAAAGAAAACAACTGATGAATTTATCCTTGTTTCAGAATTAGCTACTTGGACATTTTCAAGATTGTGGAGCTAACATGCGCTAAGCATCGGGAAGAGCTGGTAACTTCTCCATCACTGGAGGAAATCATACATTACGATTTGTGGGCTCGAGATTATGCAGCCAGTTTGGAAACCTCGGCTGGTTTTAGTCCAGCTCTTGTATAAATTGTTATTTTGGTCAGCATGTTGAGATGAATGTGTCGGCATGTTTGCCCAATAAAAGGAATTTGTTTAGGGTGGCGCAACATATGCAAATGTGTATAGTAGTGAATGTAATATGATTAGGTTACATGTACTACATCAGCGAACTCACCCTTTTTAAAAGCAAATTCCTTTGTTACATGCAATTTATTCTCTTTAGTTTCTGTTTTTCTCCCTTTTTTAAAGAGTCACTAAGAATGTTAGGACAAATTTCTGAAAATATTACGAACAATAATCGGCAAATCTTGTACTATATAATAAACGAACGTAGAAAAACCATAAAGATTACAATTTGCCTCTTGGTCCTTTGCCCTTCATTCATTATAAGGGTGTGTAATAGTTTCCAATTAGAGCCTCGTATATACTACAGTCTACATGATTGTATGGTAGTGCATTTTTTTACATAAATCTATATCCAAAGAACATCATATATATGGGACCTTGATTGAGTAAAATTCACTTATTAATCTTTAGCAGTTGGGAATCAATACCCTTTTCACCTTTTGATAGCAATATTTTTCGGTTAGCTTTAGAACTAATAAACAAATTGTTGTATATCCTCTTGACAGATCATAAGAATCAATGTTTCCTGCAAGGAATTACAGTATAAATGAAATGAAAAGATCCTTCACAGAAACATAAAATATTAAAAAGATAGTAAACCCTTGAGTTGGTTTTGTCAATTTTTTTTCTCAGTTGAGGTATTATGAAGTAATTTTCCATTAACTTTGCTACAGCTGCAGTTCACAACTTTTGAAGTAGCACTTCAAATTTAACCTCAGTTCAGACCTGCTTCCTCTTTTTTTGGGCTTCCTGTTTGTCAGTATACTTGCTAAGATGGGTCTGTTGGTGCCAGTCCAAAGCCCTTGGGCCGTTAAATTCAAGACATCACCCATAGTGAAAATAGCACGGACTAGCCAGTTTTCGTACTGATAATCGAAAAATAGCCAGCATTTTTAAATTCATTGCTGAAACACAGAAAGTTCCAGCATAATATGCGGGATTATGGAGCTCCTGCGTATAAACTTCCAGCATATTATGTTGGAACCCCAGCACACGAAAAGTTCCAGCATCATATGCGGGATTATGGAGCTTCTGTATATAAACTTCCCGCATATTATGTTGGAACTTCAACACATTATGAAATTCCAGCACATTATGCTGGAAGCTCATATGTAAAAAATTCGAACTCTAGCATATTATGCTGGAATATTTCCGGATATTTAAGGGTGTTTTTGTTTAGATTTTATCTTCACATAAAAAAATGGCTAAATTTTGATTACTTTTAAAAGTGTGGCTATTTTTCAATTGCCAATTGTAAATGTGGCTGTGTTTTTATTTTTTGGCCCACCCCATACAGACAATTTGAATAGGAAAATTTGGGAAGTAAGCCACTTCTCTAGCTGTTGTTTATAATATAGTCAGTGTATTTGCATTGTATTTAATACATAGCTACAAACTTTAAAGAGCGGCAGAAACTTGACTTTTTCTTCTTCCTATTCTCTGCTTCTTCTGCGCTTAAAATTTTAGGACATTATATCTTGAAGTTCAGCTTTTAAATGCAAGCTTCAGGACACACCGTTTTTCGGTTCAAACTGTCCTATGTCCTAAAGTTTTGTTAGTTTAAACTTAAAGACGCTAAAATTGAAATAATCACATTGCATTCGTTCTTTCTTATATATATTTGGGAAATCTATTCAAAATGCCCATTTGGGAGAAACTAATTACTCGCTTCAAACTTTTTACATAATATACCCATGCGGTCAAAAATATTTACCTGTACTTTCCCTTGACATTCCATTTTTCCCATTAATTACTCTTTGTTTTTTTGTGCTTTCTCTTTCCTGTTTTTTTTTCTTTCTATTTATCCTAACTTTTCCTTGACTTTCCCTCTCTTCCCGTGATTACTTTATGTCTTTTTGGGTTTTCCCTCTCCTGTTTATTCCTACATAGCACGTTATTCATCTCTTTCAGCATATGTGCTTTTGTTTGAACTTTGAAGGCTTCAGGAGCATCTTTGTACTCTTTTTCATGCATTCATAGATCAAGATCCCCTGATCCAAAATGCCTCGTTAATGAACTCCATGGATAAGTTAACTCTTCAACCACAGCGGATCCAGGATTTAAATTTAATGGGTTCAACTTTTAATTTTAACATTGAACTCGTTATACTGTTAAAATTATGGGTTCAAATCTAGTACTTGTTGAGATTTTATTAGGTTCTTACATATAAATTCATACACTGTATCGGAAGTTATAGTTTCAATCGAACTCGTGTCTGAAAGGCTACATCCGCCCTTGACCACATACTGCGGTTATCTAATTCTGAAGATTATTATTACTATGACTTACTATATGATACACAATCTAATAACAAAGAAAAAATGAAATAAAATAAGATTCTCTTAATTAATAAAAGAGCTAACAAAACGATATATTGTAATAATATGCAATATTTCAGCTGAAACTTGAATAAAAACACATTTACCTAACAGTATACCGCCACGGTATCAAAATATACTGTAAGAGCATACAATTATACTACAACAGTATACTGCAATAGTATACATATATACCGGAACGATATACTATAATAATCTACAATTTCAACATAAATTTAAATAAAAACACCGTTACCCATCAGTATACCGTTACTATATCACAATATACTGTAAGAGTATACTATAATATATAGAGTATATAGTTATATTGCAACAATATACTATAATAGTATACATATCTACCGAAACGTTATATGGGTAGGGTCGCGTAATTATTTTGTATGGGTAAAATCAGGGTAATTATTTGCCAAAATTTCATGGTATATCCAGTTTTCGGACTGGTCAATCAAAAAAAGTCAGCGTTTACCAAGTCAATGAAAAATAGCCACCGTTTTGCTGCAATAGAGACCGGTCCAGCATAATAGACTGGAGTTCGGTGCACTTGTGTATGAACTCCAGCATATTATGCTGGACCGGTATACTTTGCTGGCTCCAGTATAATATACTGGAGACTGGAGCACTGGTGCTCCAAACTCCAGTATATTATACTGGACCATTATACTTGCTGGAACTCCAGTATATTATGCTGGAGTTCTAGTGTATTTATGCTGGAACTCCATCATATTATGCTGGAGTTCCAGCATACTATCCTGGAACTCCAGTATAATATGTTGGAGTTCAAGTATACTTATGCTGGAACTCCAGCATAATATACTGGAGTATTTTTCGGGTTTTGAACAGTATTTTCGCTCAGATTTATCTTTACATAAAAAGTGGCTAAATTTCGATTACTTTTGAAATTGAGCTATATTTGAACGACCAGTTGTAAATCTGGCTATTTTTAAAAATCACACTAATTATTTTGGTTTCTATGGGTAACCCTCTATATATATCCCAATTTGGATTAATATTTGGACTTAAAGACACATAAACGCATCTTTCTTGTCTGTTTTCGCCTCTTTTTAGTTGAGGAAGTATTTGGAAACATCATAATCAAATGGCATCAATGGCGCAAAATGTCCACCTACATCGCAATTAGGGAGGACAAGTATATATGAACATTTGCTAGTTACGTTGCTTCATTATCTTCCAGCTAATCCCTTTATACTCAAAATTTAGGTTGACTATTAGCAATAAGTTGGAGAATAAAACAACCTTTCAAAAATTGTCACCATTAACATTCTTTGGCACATCCACAATATTTCAGATAAGCACGTATCAACTAAATGTAAGGATTTTTCATGTTCTAGATTGTGATTCAAAAACAATCTATATAAAATCCTATCAATTATTTAGAACCGTGGAACTATATGATTTTCACATAAAATACATGTACAATAATTTCAATCAAGAAAACTTGCCTGAATCCGTGATGTGTTTTCTTGATGATATTGAGCGGAAGCCTTCTTCAGAGGTGTTGTTCTTGAGTACTTCTCTCTCTTTTTTTTTCTGTGTTCTTTTTAAAATAAAGTGTGATGGAGTTACGCTATTCTTATTTTAATAGGCAGAGTGAAGGATCATCTGTTAAATTTCACTTTCCATCAAAGTGGGTTAGTGGGTAGTTATAATCATAATTAATTTCCCCTAATTTTATCCAAATACTAGTTTAACAAAATATATTTATTAAACCAAAATATTTCATAAGCCACACGTAGGTCATGTTTTATACTAAGGGATCGTTTGGTAGGGTGTATAAGAATAGTGCGGAATAAGTTGTATTAGTTATGCATGGGTTAGTAATACAAGCATTAGTGATGCAGATATTATTTCTTATCTACTGTTTGGTGTGGTGTATTAAAAATTATAATGCATTGCATAATTTTTAAGAAAAATAGTTGTTTACAGAAGTGCCATTCATATTCTCTAGCTTTAAGGAAGTTTAAGGATAATTTTGTCTTTAACCATACTAATACATGCATTAATAGCCTTGGTATTATAATTAATGTCTTAGTTTTCTATGCATCTATATATATATATATATAAAGGAGGGAATAGAAAAGATCTTGGCACCTCTCTTTCGCCAAGAAACTCAATTATCTTTTTTCTCTTTTTTTTGCCTTTTCCCCTCATATTTCCCTTTATCTTATTTAAAAAATTCAAAAATTCTAAGCATTTATTTCCCTTTCTGCAATAATGCATGTGTAACGTGTATTAAACATTAGTAAAGGCAAAAAAACGTTTCATTTCCCCATGTCCAAGGAGTTATATTTTGGAGAGTTACAAAATTTTTTGGAGAAATATACAAATGCAAGAGGAGCTAAAGTCAGAATGCACTTTAACAGGGCATTGAAATGATTTCTCTTGCAACAAATTTGTTCTCCTTACCATGGTTTGGGCCATCTCTATGTCAAAGTCAATGGAGCGAAAAAGATCTACGCTAAGGTATATGAGAATTCTCTCCTTTTTTTTTTTTTTGGGACAAGTAAATACACTACATGTTTTACATCCTTGAAATACTTCTATTTTAAAATTTAGAATTTCATTATTGTTCAAAGAGAACTTTGGGACTGACATGAAGGAGTTAGTATTTTAAAAATTTTAAATTTTTTGTGCTTCTGCTTCCTTGATGTTTCCTTGCACTTCTCAAAAAATATTTTAGGCCTCTCAAATCTCTATGTATTACTATAATACTTGCGTTCTTTGCTTTCTATATGTATT